TTCAGAGGGTGGGGCCCAGTTGATTATGTAATAAGACATGGAACGAGGTGTAATTCATGATGATATAATGATATAAGTTTGGTTAATGTGGATGAAGAAGTTTAAAACCGTCATTTTCAGGCTATGTCGAAATTTGATTCGCTGTGATCATGTAATGCGGTGATTTTTCATTGAAAAATCAGTAGCTTTGATTGATAATCTCGTTTGACCATGCGAAGTAGCTCTATGGCTGAATTTCTAATTTTAGAGTCAGAATTACTTTTCTTTACTTTTTCGGGGCATTTCAAGCGTCATGGTACACAATTTTCAACATCAGATTTTGGTCCGAAGCTAGGCATTCATGGCCCGGAATCATGGACGTTAAAAACCAGCCCTTCTGATTTATTCTGCTCATTCGGTCAAGCGAAATAGCTTAACGGTCGAATTTACTTTGCATTAAGCTTTCGAGGGTATTCCAAACGATATTATACATAGCTTTCAACATCATATGTTGGTATGGAGCGAGACATTCACGCTCGGGGTCACCGATTTCCGAACCGTTTCTTCGTGGCGCGACTTTAAATGGCATGACAGAATTAGAGCCGAAATTCAAAAGACTTTCGAACTTTTTTTTTTGTCCGAAAGTAAAATTTCAATCGCCTTGCCGAGTTACCAACCCGATGGAACCGATCCAAATCAAGTCAAATTCAAGGAGAGGTACACGTAGGCCCTGCGGTTGTCGTACCCTTGGGCGTTTCTCTAGTCTGCTCGTTTTGACTATATACAATAATCTAATCTGCTAATCGTCCCCCCGTATGTCGGGGTTATAAAGAAGCTTTCCCCCAAAGACACGTTGTGTGAGAACGCCACCTCCGAGAGAAATCCACCACCAAATTTCCAAGTCCCTTCGCAGTTTCCCACTCGTTTTCCCACCGAAATCATGCACCTCGACCCTTCGTTCTATTCGTTTATATGATCCGGCGAGCTCTTCTCCGATCACATTTTGTTTTTCTGTAGTGATCAAGATGAGCCGCAACAGCTACAACAGGGTGAACATCCCCAGATCATGCTCGAGAAGCCACGGCGGCGGCGGCGGCGGCGGCGGCACCAGCTGCAGCATCAGAGGCTTCAGGATAAACCCGAGGCGGCTCTCGGTCAAGCGGCTGCGCGCCCGGTTCGCGAGCCTGTTCCGGGTCCTGAGCCGGTGCCGGTTCCCGTGCGGCCGGGCCCTGAAGCTCCTCAAGAGCGGCTGCTTCTTCTGCAGGAGCCGGAGCGGGATCAAGAGGAGCTCCAGCAACGGCAGCCAGAGGAACCTGGTGGTCGCGCACGTCAAGGCCAAGCCGGCCCGGGCGGACTACGGCGCCAAGCTGCGGTGCTACTCCCGGTCCAACTCGTTCTACTCCGAGGCCATCGCGGACTGCCTCGAGTTCATCAAGCGGACCTCGGTCTCCCTGGATCAGGGCAGGGACAGGACCGAGCTATCTGATCTTTCTCGGCTCGAGCTCACATGAGCTTCTTTCCTGTCGTCGTCGGACGAGCGTTAGGACTCAGTTAAAAAAAAAAGAGTTTTCAAGAACCCATTTTTGCTCTTTCGTTCTTGTTCTGTTCCACCCATATGTAAATTTGTCCTCGGTTTTCTAGAAAACCCACGAATTTTCTGCAGCGAGACCGAAGAATTCTGTGCACCGTGCCGCCATCATCCATGGACCAATCATCTATTTTCGATTCTCGAATTGCGGGTTCGTTGAACTTTAGTCTCTTGAGTCGTTGAAAAACGGGGGTGATGGAGGTGGGGGGGTCGATTGGTCTTTTCGGGGGGGGGAGGCAATCTCCGGGAAGGTTCTCAGTAGGTGGAAATTGAAGATTCTTAGGCGGTGTGATTTTCACCTAACATGATTGTCCATTGCTCTGCTAAACCAAGATCAACAGAAGGGGTTGGGATGTGAAGAGGGTATGATAAAGGTGACATTTTTTTTTTAAGGTGAGATTACGGGACCAAGGACACAATCATGTCCCCGGCTTTATGAAAGTTCGCGTCTTGGTTTTTTCCCGTGTCGATGCTCGCCTTTTTACCCGGATTTTTAATGACGAGGGGAGATGCATACCTCATGATGGCTAATGATGCGGATCGAACCGCTAATTGCCGGCTAATTGGCTGTATTCCCTCTCACACCGTCTTATCGGGGGGCTGCGGGGGGTATTATTCTCGCGGTTCGCGACTATGTATTGTCGGTACTTGATGGGATGTCAGATCCCGTCACGGAAAAAATCGAGGTGGTCTGCCCTCGGTAACCTTGCTAAAAAATCCACGGCATAAACAAATAAAAGCATCTATAGGACGAGAAAAGACATGGACTTGCGTCCTTCATCGCACTCGGACGACAACATCCCGATACGGTACCCCAAGCCCGCCTTAGGACGAATTTTAATCTCTCTACAACCATCATTACAGGCCGTAGCGTGGGACCAATTTCTCTATAAAAAGTATACGCAATGGATGAGTCGGGGTCGAGTTCGATCTCGTACGCGCTCTTTACATAATAAAGTACAATGTGAAAATTGTTGCAGCGGGTCGAATTTAATATCATCTGCTATACATGACTTTTTAATCATGTTCGAATGACAAATGAATGACTTCGCATTTTTTTTCTAGTACACATTTATTTTCACATGGTATTTACATGTGAGCAGAGCCCACAATCTCTGACCAGAAGAAAAAAAAGCCCTACAATCTAGTTATGTTATGTCTAAAATTAATTAGACGTGTAAGTATGAGTTAAATATAAGCACCGACATTGTTTACCAAATCAATAAAAATAATAATCAAAATACATATAGTAGGATCAAAAGGGAAATAAAAAGAAAGCCAGGGCACCTCCAATTTTACGAAAGAGCCCCTGCAGGAAGAGCCAATTGAAACCTGACGCGTGGCGGCGCCCCCGAGAGAAACGGGGCACCGTGGGGGGTTCTATGTAATTTTCCTCTGGGGCCATGCTAATTCCACAGCTCTGGTTTGGCTCCGTCCACACCCTAGTGAAGTAGAATGACAAAAACATCCAAGCATTCAAGCTATTCTATCTTCTTTTGGTTTATATGCTCGACGACCGGAGCGCGCGAATCGTTTTACAACCCACCCGAGTCTCGAGCCATTTCAAGGAAATCTATATTCAGGAGTTTGATCGATTTTGCCTAATCAATTTCGTCCATATTATTACATCCATGAGGAAACTTTACAATCTCCCCTTCAATAACTATTTTCTCGAATATTTGCAAGTCCGCTTTCAACCCTAGCAACTTCCATTTTATCGCAATACCAACGACCATAGATCCTCCTTATCACCGTTGAGATTCCCGTGACAATCGGTATCACTATGGAATAGTTGTATGGCGCTATCACACGTTACAATTTAGAGCCATCAACCACTTGGGGATTGCCCCAGTGGCCACCCTTCCCACATGGGAAGGGGGAGGTGGGGAATTTGAATCCCCCACTTTCTTGAAGGTTGGGGTTGATGATGTTTAATTTCAGATGTGGGTTTCGATTCTCACACTCTGTAAAGAGGCACGGTAAAAATCTAAGAATGAGTTGAGAGTTAAAATAGGACAAAATAAATAAATAAATAAATCAGAACCATCGCTTGCCTTGCCAGATCTCCTTGCCCAGCACCACTATTTATGGACCAGGCCACGGGCCACTAGTTACATCTATTGGGTAATAAATCGATTTCAATTAGTTGATTGTAATCGATAATCTCACTCTCCTTCATCTTTTCCTTCTATCCACTTGTACTGGCTAATGCTTGGTGACGCCGGTCATCGCAGAGACCTCACAACCTCAGTCCTAGATCAACATGAGATTAATCACCTCAAACTATTAAGGATTCGGTATACAATTACAAGGAAATAGGGAGTAAAAGTAAGAAAAAGAAATTGAGACACAAGGTTTTTATCGTGGTTCGGCCCTTACGTCCAGCAAAGGATTTCACTATAATTAATACATCGCATCTTTTTGTTTCATCTCTCAGTTACAAGAGAAAGAGAATATAAATATGCAACGGTAGCTATTCATAGGCCAAACCCAAACTGCTAATAAAATACAAACTCGAAATATAAAATTTCCCTGGCTTCACGGTGTGCTGCGCCCCCTACAATCCCTACCGAGGTGATCCCCTCTGCCTTCATGTCGATGGGGAGTATGAATCATATCGCAATACAAACAACCTCGATCGTACGGATCACGAGGGCACACACTCTGAGCTTGAAGTAGTGAAGGGTGGTGGTCGAGGGCAAAGGACACACACAATCAACAGGGAGAGAGAGAGGGAGGGGGGGGGGGGGGGGAAACAAACGAGATTTGAGAGCGAAAATGTGAGATGGGCGAAGGCAAGTGACGAATGACGGCCGCAGTGCGTGAAGGCCGATGACGTCGATGTCGTGCGATCAAGAGGCGAGTCTTAGCAAAGGGCTGAGCTATAGAGAAAGAGGTGAAGGACTCACAAGGGTACTTTCGTCACATAATTTCTTGGGGTGTGTACGGAGATAATTTAGGGGCAGAATAAGCCTAACCCTTTTTTCGTCTTCGTCTCTCCGGAGTTAAAGAGATTCTGCAAATACTTTTTTACTGCATGCTCGCAAACTCAAATCATAAGATCACGTTCATCATCTACTCTAATCCCATAACTTCATGCGACTCTTGGATTAGGAATTCGATAAAGAGCCCACCACGCGACGTCTCTTCCGATCTCTTACACGCGCAACGGGGCGCGCGAACCCGACACGGCGCGTGATGCATCCTCAAGAAAGCCTCGCGATTTACCATCCGTCGTCGCGTTGCGTCGATCCATCGATACTTTACTTCCAGTCGGTCCTTTCGATCTCCTTTAAACATGGAAACGTCAGCAGATTAATGGACGGTAAGCTTAGCATTTCTTGGCCTCTTCAACCTGGAATAAATCCCACTTTGGGCACCCCCCAAAGCGAAGAACGGAATCTCCTGCCCCATACGCACGACGGCGCCGCCAATGCCGATCATCTCCATCGCCGGAGCACAAGCAAAATCCAATCGCAATTTCGCCTCCGATTTCGAAGCCTTCGTCACGCGGTGGCGATGCGTCCGCACGATGACGACGACGACAACGACAACAACAACGCAAGTGCCGCCACGCCAACGCTGTTCAAAATCGAACTCGCCCTGTTCACGTTCCGTGCCCGCTTCCTCCGACTCGTCGCACGCGCTTTCGCGCCTAAAAACAGAATAAAAGGTCGAGGGCAGCGAAGGCAGAGCACGCGCCCCCGAAACCGAATCGCCGCCATTCAGATGAGCGTCTGCCCTAAGGAGCGGCTCACCTCCCTCCTCCGCAAAGCCCGCAGCCTCATCGGCCTCGCCACCACCGCCACCGCCGCCTCCGCCACCGCCGCCTCCCTCTCCTCCTCCGCCTCCGCCTCCTGCGCCGCCGCCGCCGCCATGGACGACCTCCAGGCCACGAAGACCCGCGTCTGCATCATCGGCAGCGGCCCCGCGGCCCACACCGCCGCCATCTACGCCGCCCGCGCCGAGCTCAAGCCGATCCTGTTCGAGGGGTGGATGGCCAACGACATCGCCCCCGGCGGCCAGCTCACCACCACCTCCGACGTCGAGAACTTCCCCGGTTTCCCCGAGGGGATCCTCGGCATCGAGCTCATGGACCGCTGCCGCAACCAGTCGCTCCGGTTCGGCACGCAGATCTTCACCGAGACGGTGACCAAGGTCGATTTCTCCGCCCGCCCCTTCAAGGTCTTCACCGACTCGAGGACCGTGGTCGCCGACGCCGTGGTCGTCGCCACGGGTGCCGTCGCGAAGCGGCTCAGCTTCCCCGGCTCCGGAGACGGGCCGAACGGTTTCTGGAACCGCGGCATATCGGCGTGCGCCGTGTGCGATGGCGCCGCTCCGATATTCAGGAACAAGCCGCTGGCGGTGATCGGAGGCGGTGACTCGGCGATGGAGGAGGCGAACTTTCTGACCAAGTACGGGTCCAAGGTTTACATCATCCACAGGAGAGATACGTTCAGGGCGTCGAAGATTATGCAGAACAGGGCTTTGGGTAACCCTAAGATTGAGGTCTTGTGGAACTCTGCAGTGGTGGAGGCGTATGGGGAAGGAGAGAGAGGGGTTTTGGGAGGGCTGAAGGTCAAGAATGTCGTTAGTGGAGAGGTTTCTGATTTGAAGGTCTCTGGATTGTTCTTTGCCATCGGGCATGAGCCTGCTACTAAGTTTTTGGACGGACAGTTGGAGCTTGATTCCGAAGGTTATGTCGTGACGAAGCCTGGGACTACACACACGAGTGTAAGAGGAGTTTTCGCCGCCGGGGATGTTCAGGATAAGAAGTATCGGCAGGCTGTTACTGCCGCTGGGACAGGTTGGTCATATTTGACGCACTTTCTTGTGATGTTATTGAATTTTTATCCAGTAGAAAATGGTATATCTTTGCTTCATTTCGGCAGCTAGAAGTGCATAGTTTGTTTACTTAAGTGTTATACTCAACAAGCTGAAAGCTCTATGAAGAGAGCAATGCCAGAGAGATCAAACGATGCATTCATTAGTTTATTAGCTGTGTTTAGAAGCATGACATGACAATGCCGTGGTTCATGTCTTTCTGCGGTTGAGTAATTTATCAAGTTCTCTTCATTTCTGCTTCTTATTGACTCTCTTACTGTACATATGTAATTGAATACTGCATTTCGGAAAGATTCCTTAGCCTTTGAGGATCTGGGTACAACAAGGACGACACATGACAGTGAACTTCTAGCTTCCACCATACCTATGCATAGTTGGGTGGACCGTGGCTTAACTGTTCTGCTTGGGATTTATTCTCTTGTCTTAAATGGTTTTACTAGTACACATGCGAAGTAAGAGCGATCATCATGAGGATCGCTGATGTCCAGTTTCATGAACGGAATAGAAATTTCCCAAGTACCACTGTTCAGTGGTGAATTCATTTACTCCAAACATTGGTCTTGATGATATGGGAATAATCTTTGCTCTTCCTACAATGTTCTAAAAGTAACCAGGGAGATCCCTATCATCACTAGGTTGTGAATATTTTGAATTATTAACTTTATTTGTTGGTCCAAGTCATTGCGAGTTTGTGTTTAAGTGTACTTGAAGAAATGGCCTTTTCTCCTTTGAAACTTGGTCTGCTTGTTACATGAGGTTATGAACATTACCTATTATTAGCTTCTGACTGAATTATTTGTCTCGACAATAGCAACTTTCCCTCTTTTTGGAGGAAGTTTGTTTAGATGCAAATCAAGTCAATCCTGAATGCTCCCTCTTTTGCTAACTTATTGGATCATTTGACTATTGACCAACTGCAAATTTTTGGTGCCTTGCATTTCAATCCAGCTTGAAAATAGAAAAGATGGATAGCTTCTAACTAGAAGTATAGGCCTGCCTGCCTTCTGATTATATTATCTTGGAAGATCATACCAGCTGTTCTGGTGATGTGATATGTGATCATTGATGCCCTTAACCCATGAGCAAGCTAAAGTTTATGGCAACAGACTTGGCTAACATTAGCTCTCGAAACTGCTAACTTCTTGACTACTGATTAGGTCTTTGATATTCTCCCTCTAGGGTCGGACCATATGAAACCCATTATGAGTTTTGTCAATCTTTGCACATAGCCTATAAATACACAATTCAGAATTGAACAGTTGGCTTCTACTTGCTTTTTGAGCATTTATCATCATTGTTTGACAGTAACTTGTCAATTTTCTTTGTGATTCATTAAGCTCTGGTGTACTATCACACTTGCATGTAGGATTTGCTTTTTTTTTTTTTTTTCTTTTGCCGATAAGCAAAATGAGATTGTCAAAAGCATATGAAGGAGATTTGCAAGAGAAGATATTTAAGTGTGAGAACAGGTGTCCCAGATAAGAAGGGATCTTGGGGATTGTCTGTGTATATTATGTGAAGTTTTAGGGACTGCTTTGGTCCCTCCCCTATGGAAAATAGTTTGTGGGTTTTAGTGGGTTTGAATTGGTATTGGTACAGCTATTTTGTTTGATTTGGGTATTCATGGGGATTTGAGATAGTTGTTTTGGTTAGAATAGATATACTCCTATAGTTGCTCCGGTCTCATGTATAAATTGGACCGTTTGGTTTTGCATATAACGGTTGGTAACCCCTAGGTGGCTCATTGATAATATCATTTAGTTTTATAATTATGGAGTACTGATGTATATGAGCGAGCAAAAAGGGCAGTTGCAGGCATTGCATAAAGTAGACTTCCGATCGTCCAGTGTCTGTACCCTGTATGAGAACTAGCATTCTCCAATATTAAAGAGGTTTCTTGAGCTACAAAACGTTCATTGTCAAATAATAGATGCAAAGGCGAATTAATAATTTGAAATGTTGCTTCCCCTTGCAACAATACAGAGGAGTAGAGAGAATGTATGCCCTTGTGATACTGCCATTGCTGATTCTGCTGCTCTGTGGTGGTTTCTTCATCTTATTTAGCCGACTAATGCCCTTTTCTTTGGTGCAGGGTGCATGGCAGCCCTCGATGCGGAACATTATTTGCAAGAAATCGGATCCCAGGAAGGTAAAAGTGATTGACTATCTGGCGTGAGCCCCAAGCTTTGAGGCCTCTTGAATTGAAAGCAAATTCAAATCACTAGTAATACAAAGGGAGCTCTCTATATATCTAGGCATTATGTTGTTCATTTTGCGTTTTTAATTGCAACGATCATTCGACTAATATTCCGGTACATGTTTATGCCCACGATGACTATTATACAATTGGATGTGAAGCATACAAGATTTGCCTTGTGCTGTCTGCTTGCGCTCGTGCTTGTATTGGGTGCCTATTTCGACAGACCTTTTGGACATAGGAATCCCCATAAAGGGCTCTTGTGCCTTTTTGAGCAAGAAAGGGCTCTTACAGTTCATTCCTGAAATTTTATGCTATGTTTGTCTAGAATTATGATCGTTTCGGTTGATGCTAATTGGGTTAATATAATGTGAGCTACGAGCTATGAACTACTTGGTTATGCTAAGCCAATCGAGACTGTGTTTATCTCCCTATCATATTTCTGTGCAACGTCCACGTTTCTTTCTCCATCTACCTAAGCATTTATCTTGTCAATATCGTTCTTCAAACCAAGGATCTGGCCAGGGCTTCAGCAACCTGTGGAGTTATCTTGTCATGACCTTGGAAGTAAGATTGCTAGGTGAATCAAAGTGTTGCGCTGTGTTTTTGAGTGTTGATGAGTTAAATGAACTTCAAGAATCTGTTTGTAATAGCTGAAATCAGTTGTATCTATGTTCGCGATGTCATTAATCTGAACCACACTTTTGTATCACGTTTTGCTCTTTCAAAAGTTACTACCGTATAAAAGAAGGCAGAATGGCGCAAATGATCCATGAACTTTTCGCTTTCGTCGTTTATGAAAAAAACAGCTAACTTTTTTTTCTAAGCAACTCTAGATAAATAATATATTGTATTTCTTGCTTTTAGTAACAGGGAAATGAAGCTAAATAAATAAAATGACATTGATTTGTCTTTTTTTTTCGTACTTTTTGAATGTACTTTTAAATTTGATTTCCATGATTCAAGAAGTCACTTAGTTTAGAATAATAGTCAAAATAAGGGTAACTGTAAGGATAAAAAGAAGGTCGTATGAGCTTTAGTTTGTTGAGCTACATCTTTATCTTTCATCTCATAACTTAAATCCGAAATGATGTTTCATATTCAATAGATTATAGATGCACGTCTCTTTTCATTATTAAGAAATTTAAAAATGAGTTTCTCTTGGTCAATAGACGCAAAAGATGTCTTTCTTCATTGGGTTTATAAAACTTTAATTATCGATTTAATAGTAACTTGCTATATGGTCTTGGCAGTGGTATGTATTATATCATTTACATGCGTGCAATGCGGAAATTATTAATTGCGGCGGCAAATGTCTACATATATATATATATTCCGTGCTTGCTTACGTATAAACTACATGGGCAATTACATTATAGTTTCCGTTTTTATATTTCTTTTTCTCGTTATGATGCGATGCGCAAGTTGACATTTCGTTTTGATTATGCCGGAGTTGGTACACAAAGATCCCTGTATTTCACCAGAGGCTAGTAGGTGGTCGTCGAGAAAGTACATTTATGCATCGTGGTAACATTTTACATGTTAATATGAAATTATCAAACGAACGACATAATTTTGATTGCCAAATTTTTAATCATCAAGGAAATTGGATTAAGAGATAGAATTGAATCGGCATTTTTCATATTAGCATGGAACACCGCGTCGATGATGCATAAGATATATTATCGTGCCAAGGGACAGGTCGATTAATATATAATTGCTTTTGCCCACATGACCATCGAAAAATACATGGCTAGTCGATCGATTTGGCTTGAAATTAGAGCAAGGAGAAGTAGATAGTAATCAAGATTAGGACTTTGAATTTGAGCTTTAGTGTTGTCGCAGGCTTGGCCCAGCACCGTTTTTGGGCCATCTCGGCCCAACCTTGTTTGGTAGTTAGTGAATTCTTTCTCTGTTCTTTTGTTGGAAAAGAAAATGTATGACTTCTGGGAAAAAAGAAATAAAAAGAACTTCAGATTTGATGCTGGAGGATGACTGTTGCATTGGAGAATAATGTGTCCATTGACCAAGAGTCAACCTCAGCTCTCTTTTTTTTGGGGCAAAAATAAATAAATAAATAAACTCATTGTTTATTTCCTAGTTCTCGTGGCACCAAAAAGATTAATTTTCCTTTACATTATATATTTAAAATGGCGATATTAAGAAGATACTAATTACATTATTTAGAGCAAATACATAAGGGTTAAGGCCGAGAAACACTATTTTGGATGCATTTGCAAAATCAAGTCCCGGACACGTCGTCTTTCGGATCATCTCGATGCTTATAAAGATTGCAACGACGAACTTTATCTTAATTTACGAAAATGTATAATGAAAACTCAATCGAAATAAATTAAAAAAAAAAAAAACTAAAGTCCCTGTATTTTAAATGTCAAAATCTATCACTGTCTTGTTTGATTGATCACGTTTTGAAGTTAGTACAGAAGTTGGATCACCCTCTGTTCTGGCCCACCTGAGAAACAAGCCCTAGCCACTTACTTCAACATTGGCTTGACCCATTGCGACAGTGAGAGGGGAGAGGGATCCTCTTCCCGTCGCCCCACAAAGGACCCGACCCTATTTCTTCGAGATTGGGTCGACCCGCTTTGCGCTATTTTGGACCTCCGAATGGTCACAGGCTTTGCAGATGATTGTGATTCTCCTTCTTTTGATGAGGAAATCAGTGGGACACAGCCAGTTATGACCAATGGTGATGAGATGATGGCTTTCAAGATTCTAGATGTGTTGGCGTCACGTTATGTGCTTACAGCTCTGATTTAGCATGTCTTCTGTGTAATTTCGGTGATCCTTCGGAGTCCCGCTTCGAATGGTCCGAGCTCATTCCGATGCTGATCGAGCCACGGGTCGTCCCTGGGACAGACGAAATGAAAAATCACGAAAGCTATCATGTCCACAAGCTCGCAAAACCCTAAAATTCAACAATCTTGTGATGTGGAAAGTACGTGGAGACAAACAAGGGTTTTAAGCCCTCGCCATGAATGGTGCGGAGAGATTTTTTTGCTTCCTTTTTGTTGGTCTCCAGACTCAAGAGGTGGGGTCTCGAGACATCATCGGTGGATCTTAGAATTAGGTGATGGGAAAAAGCTATGCCCATTTGACATATCGACACGACATATATATTATCGGACCGGTCATGTTTTTCAAAGCGATATTGTATCGGCATTTCATTGGCTACATGCTTTCGCGTTTCTTACGAGTACTGAATTGAATTTAAGTTAGAAATAGTCACGGTCAAAAATAGTATTAGCGCGTTAATTATTCAACGGCTTCGGTTCGAAGATTGATTAATTCCAAGTCAATCTATTTATTTAGATAAGTTTCCATGGCAAATCGGACCTCCGAACGATAAATGGGTGATTTTCAATGCCGGACAACAAATATAAAATTCTAAAATTTCTATAAAACGAGACATGCATCGTAAAACCGATTGTCCACATCGGTTAAATTCTTTTTTTAGTTTAGAAGCTCCGATACATGTAATGTTTCTAAGTTTTCACATTGGTAGCGTATCTTTGAATCATTGGGACAAGGGTTTATGCGCTCTCCATTTTTGGGGTCATTATCCAATTCACATCTGGGCTGTTTTTAAATTTTTGGGGTTTTTGCTCTTGCTCAGAGCAAGATGACAAGCTTTTGTCGGCATTATCCTATCAGGACCGCACTTCACATAAGGGAAAAAGAGAAATAAATTAATTGTAGCTTCGTGGTTAAGAATAGGGATAATTAGATAAACGGTCCCTGAATTTTGGCCCAATGTATAATATTGCCCTTGAGATTTTTAATTTGTTCAATATGAACCCTGGACTTTACCTTAATATTCAATGTGGTCCTTGAACTTTTTATTTGTTCAATATGGTCCGTGAAATTTTTGGTACATGTTCAATATAGTCCCCGGACTATATGTAGTTCCCGAACTTGAATTATCAGAAGGATTACATTAAATATTTCCATACAGTCTATGGACTACATTGAATATGTACGAAAAGTTTAGGGACCACATTGAACAAATTAAAAGTTTAGGGACCATATTACACATTAGGCGAAAATTTATGGATCACGTTATATATCGGGTCAAGATCGAGGGATCGCTTGTGTCGTTTATTTTAAGAATGTAATGCATCCGGACAAGAATTTAGAAAATTTGGACAATAGGAGAGAGAGGGGGGGAGAGAGAGAGAGTAGATTTTGATGAGTGCGTGTTTTGGCTTTTTTGGCGAACGAGCGTCCCCCGAAGATTCTGAAAAAAATACAAAAGCGTTAAGGGGGCCTTGATCGGCTTTTTCTCACACAGCAAAAGGCAGAGCCACCATGCCATAACCATCTCCCACCACTGGGATCCTCCCCCTCCCTTCCATGCCCGCCTTCCCCTTTCGATCCCCCAAGCCCTCGAAATCCGAATCCCAAGTTCAATTCTCCCTCTTTTTTGTCTCGTCACAAATCTCTCCTCTCTTTTCTCGAGCAGCACTGCCCTCTGTTTCTATATATCTACTAGGGTTTCTCGAAAGTCTTGCTCCTTTTTTTTTTTTTTTTCCCCTCGTCTTCTGTTTTCTCTGGTTTGATTGATCCGGGTCACCTCAAGGAGCTGACTTTACGGTCTCTGGCTAGCTCTCGTGGGCTCTTTCTTCGTTTTGTCGAGCTGGGTCTCTCGCTAATCTCGCCGTCTCTGACCCGAAGAGGGGGGTTTTTTTTTTTTTTCGTGGGTTTTGCCCCGATATGTTTAGCATGTGATGATGAGGAAGGTCGAGTTCTTCTGGGTCTACCTTTATGTCACGTGAATTGAGCCCCCATCGAGTTGCTTATGGAGGAAATCTTGAGCTTAGATTGATTCCTCGCGGGTGGGTCTCGGTGGAATTAGATGGCATTTTACCAACCGGTGCCTGGTTCTCCGTTCGCTGGTTTTGGGGACACGACTTATACGAAGGTGTTTGTGGGAGGGCTGGCATGGGAGACTCAGAGTGATACTTTGATGCGCTACTTTGAGCAGTTTGGGGACATTCTTGAGGCTGTTGTTATCACTGACAAGAACACCGGCCGATCCAAAGGCTATGGATTTGTAAGTGTTGATGTTCTGTAACCGTGACGGTTTAGCTGTTGTTATTTGGGGATGTAGGTTTTTATTTGATTCCTTCTCAGCGGGTGTGTTCGGTTTTTTTCTTTCTTTTTTTTTTTTTCTGGTTCGAAATGATGGTGATGGGTTTATAGCTATCGTGTTTTTATTCTTGGATTGGATTTATATGGAGGTTAGGTGACATTCCGCGATCCTGAATCTGCGAGAAGAGCTTGTGAAAATGCCAGCCCTGTTATCGATGGCAGAAGGGCTAATTGCAATTTGGCTTCTCTTGGCCGGCCTCGGCCACCTCTTCCTTATGGTACTCTATGTTTTGATCCACAGTACTACCTGAATGTGAACATTGAATTCTCCAACTGCTTTGATTTAAGAATTGAATTGTTTGTGCAGTGCCCTGTGGCACTAGATCTGGCATGACATGGGATGATGGAAGTTAGTTTCCCGTTAGTCGCTGTTGGAGTGTTGCATCCCAGCTAGAACTTTTTCGTATTGTTAGGGTACCAATGGTGGTAAGTGGAGAGCAAGCTAGGTTTACCAAGAACTTATACTAGAATTAATCTGTTCATCGATGTGATGAAAATGGGTGTCAAAAGGATCTATGCACCAGTCAGTTGGCTTGTTCAAAGATGTAATCGTTAGATATGTAAGTTTCTGCAGACATTGGTCCATTGTCAATGTATGCTGAAAATCTGCATTTAAAGTGAATCAGTGAGAAAATTGTAGTTTGTGCCCTCGAAGTTTGTTAAACGACTGCCAAATGAATTGTGAAATTTGGCGTCTTGTATGTTGACCACCAAATAAATTCCTCGGATTGTAAACCGCATGATGTGGCTCTTTAAATAAGTACTGGGGGCAGGGTCCTTGTTCGGCATGTTCATCAATCATGAGTTTTACAATGTACTGATGTTTCATTTGTGAAACGCAGTAGTTGCTTTTTAGACTTTCTAGTTTCTGTTTCTTGGTCTAATGGATGCCTGTTTTATTGTCCTAGGGCGATTGAGACCTGGACCACCTCTGATTGGAAGTGTGCAGACTCCCAGGGGGAGTTACGTGGGGAACCCTGTCTACCACCATCCAAATTCTTATGGTTATCAGCCAGGATATGTCTATCCTCCTTATGGGTAATTCCAAAGTCATGTCATTTCCTGGAAGGAACTTACAGTTAATAGTCCCAGCTAGAATTGGCTGCTTGCGCTGCTGCGCAATCTGGATTTCAAGAGATATAGCAATTAGCATACCATTCGGAACTTTCAAAATCAGCGTAAATTTGTTGATTGCATGCAAAATTGAAAATCATATATACTTGAGTACATGGAGCATCTTCTTTTTTGTTTACTCGAGGAAATATTGTGCGAGCAAAGTTAAAGACATTGCATCTCCCGGATTTTGATTGGAAGCTTTGTTCTTATCTTAAGATTGCCAAATTCATTCAACTTTTTTTCTGGCCACTTGCAGTATGAAGGACGGCATATTGATTTAACTGGTCAAATCGATGCCATCTTCAACACATTATTTGACAGGAAAAGTTTCCTGTTGATGTGATACCTTGATGTGTCTATATCTTCTGAAGTGATTCAATCACTTTCTTTACTGCAGGTACACTACATATGGGCCTGAATATGTCTATCCACAGGTTAATCCTAGATATCCTTATTGTCGAAATTTCAACTTTTCTTAGAAGTTGTAACATAAAGTGTTTAGAATCCCATATCGAGCTCTCTGATACGAGTTTATTTACTTCCTCTTCCATATCGCAGGGCGTCTATAATCCTTACATGGCCCAGCATTACCTACAAATGTATGGGGCACCATCCGCAGACAGCAGTGATGTATACTCATTTGGGCAATCAGGTCATCTACCTCCTGGTAATCATGGGTATACGATGCTCCGTGGTTATCGGATGCCAGGTCAGCATATTATGCAACTTGGGGGACCGAATATAACTGGAGGAACTACTGCTGCAGTTCCCACCATTCAAGTGCCTTACCCTACTGGTATTTTTCTCACTCTCTCTTCTAAGTTAACAAAGTGATGTTTCTGGAGTTCCTGCAATGTCGGGAATACACATCATTATGATTATGTTGGGGTTGTTCAGCGATGTCTTTCTGTTGAGACCTTCGACTCTAACACTTACAGTTACCTGTTTATCATGCACTTCTGGTGGTCTTTCCCACGCTTTGTACACTGTAGTTACTTTTAAGGGGAATTTACTCGATACTACCAGGGTCTTACGTTTATTTAGGTTTAATTTATTAACAAGTTGTCTCGACTACAAAGTATTGTCAATTAACTGGTTTTTAAGGATGAGCATGATTCCTTTGCCTTGTTACGAAATTACACTTTACCAGGTGTCGTGCTATGTCGACCTATCTTGTGGTCGAGCTTCCGCTTGTGTGATATTACTATCTACATCTCCGAGTAGAATGACTAGCGCAGAAGAGAAACTTCTATATGATAGCACATGAGATATAAGCGTGTAATAGTACATGCAATAGATGGGCTTGGCACAGAAAGTCCAGAAGTCGCTTGATTCTCTTCCCTTTTACTGCCATTCATGCACACACACATGTATACATACACATGCTGGTGGCAACTGGAGTCCCTACTTTTATAATTAGCAACTTGATGCTGAATCGTGAACGAGAGAAGACTGCTTTATCCTGTCCTGCTGGGCAATAATCATGTGCTAACTCTTGATCTATGTTTTTCCTACTTCACTCAACTACTTGCAATGACTGAAATTTTTAGATGTGCTTGACTTTATTTGTGTGAGCTTCCTTGTGTCGGTCAGGTATAGTAGCACCTGCTCCTGGACAGACCCAGATGAGACTACCAACTCATCCTCCTCAGTTCACTAACACTTCTGATCAAACATCTGGTTGAGGGGGAGATCAAAGAGTCAAAATGTCAGGTAGAGTTCATACACAGAGCTATATTTTCCTTGTAACATTTCGGGTGTATCACTGTTGGAACTGCCATGATGCCCCTGTCGCAGGTAATCCTTAGATTGCAGCAGGACTAAGAGCAGCAGCTCTGCTACTTGAGTGGCAAGCTTCAAATCTAGCCTTGCAAGTTGTCATATTTGCATTCTAGAGGTAACTATAAATGTTCTTATTAGCTTGTTAGAAAATGGAATAGATGGAACAATCTAAAGCAGACTTAAAAAGGAGTTGAACTGGAAAGAGAATGCGCATGGTTTATGTACTCTCTAGGATAAATATCCTCACATCAAAAGGTTTTGGTAGAAATGGTCGCTTAACACAATATGCAAAGTTACGTTTCTGAACTGATATTTGTTTGGCGGTGTCTCTACTATAAGATTATATGGAGAGTTCGTCTTTCACTTGTAAGGCTCGAGTTGCATGTGAGATGGGAGGTTAGCCAGCTTTGGACTTGGGAACAAAACTGCTGCACCAGCAAATTGGAGTTGTCTGATTACCGTTGCATGTCGTTGTTTCTTTGCTCGACTTGAATGTCTTCAAAAGTTATTTTCTTTCTAGCTCAGGATCAATGATCTAGTGATGCCTTCCATTTTCTTAGGATTATCTGGCACCATGTGGTTAAAGCCATACTTGCAAAGGGGTGAATTATAAATTTGCGATGGTTTCTTGCAGGTACCTTTGTCATATCCACCAAAATTCCCCCAAAGTCAGTTGTAAGATGTTTCGAGTCAGTGAAAGAGCAAAGGGTTGCTTTTTCATCTGCGTCTGTCATGGGCTGAAGCCAGCGGCAGAGCAAGATCGATGTTTTTGCCGGAACATAATGTCCGGCAATACCATGTAAATAATGTAAATTTGTAAATACTGTACCAAAGAATCAAGATATGATTCTTTAATTGTGTGAACCCTAGGCATGGGTTCTTCGTCAATTCTTAGCTTGTATGATATCTCCAATGACTTTGTTAATAAAAATTCCATCATTTCTGACTCAAAAAGTATGTTTTGAGCGGTAGCTTGTGACGGTACACAGTGCATACCGGCTTTTCCTTGCCACGGTGATGCTCATTCTCTCCTGGCCTTGTCTTATTGTGTTTATTGACTCAAATTGAAAACCTTAAACTCAATACCTCTGTATGTAGATAAGAGATAATTTGGTAGATAACTACAACCCCGTACGATGGGAGAAGGAGATTTATGGCTTATATTATACAGAAGGAGCACTGTCACATTATGTTTCACAATGTCACATTACAATCTAGACTTTCATTCGAGACCAAAATTTTAACACTGTAAAAATACGAGGCCAGAGTTACCACCACAAATTTTGCTCCGAGCAATGAGTCGATAGCGTCGTTCCAGTACGGCCCATATAATTTGGCAGCACTATCTTCTGGTTTCTGAAAGAATTTCTGACTGTCCACTGATTTCACAATGACTCCGGACTAGTAGATGGTCTTATCCTCGACGGCATTCGTACAAGCTCCTCTAGTCCTCCGCCGAACTTGTACATCGAGGACTGCTTTGGTGTAATGGACATTTTATTCAACGCATAGTCAAATTCTTCCATATCAATATCCTGCTTGTTAAAATTTGCAGCCATTCTGTTGCCTCTGTTCTCCCCTACGCCATCAACAGACTCTTCACCGTCTTCGTCACCGCTACCTTCCTCGTCTTCATCTTCATCGTACGTAGTTTTGACCTTTGACCAAAATATGAAGTTTGGCCGGATGAATATGCAGAACGCAAGTTTCTAAAGAAGAGAAAAGTATGGTCAGCACTCCCTTCCCCTATAGTTACACGTTAACGACATTTAACTTACAGTCCACACCGGTAGCCATCCCTTAAAAAGTTGAAACCAGAGTAAGCGACCAAAAATGTTGCTCCTCTTGAAACTCAACTCTAAACATCAAGAATTTGCGCATGAGACAGAAAATGTTCTATTGTATGCAGAAACTCTGAGCCCTTTCATTATTCTAACACTTGCACAATCTGCTAACACATAGAAGCATTACAGTATTTAGCCTAGACAGGTTTCGTGTTCTCCAACCAAATCCAACAATAAAGAGCACATCACAAACAGATGCCAGCCTGAACCTGATTGTAGCAACCATGCAAAGAGAACATCCTTTGATGTAATTCTTACGATTTCCCCTAGTCAGCCAGAGTAGGCAAATCACTTCTTAGTCAGATATTCAAAACCAAACGAGATACCTTGGCTATGCACTCATATTCTTTTGGCCCATAATTACTAATTTGCAAAACTTTTAAGGCGAGAGAAAGAACCTGTTGCTTTTCTTCAATAAACACGGGTCAACAGGAAAGAACATGTCTAGCCTCTCCAGTCCACCAAAAGCCCTTGAAAGTTAAGACTCCAGTATGTCATCACAGATAAATGTTTTGGACACTGCAGAAAGCCCAGCTGCTCTTGCCTGTTTAAGAAATTCCCCCACTACTGATGGCAGGCATATCTGTAAGAAGATGAGAAAAGCTGAGGCTGTAAGTCGAGGATGAAAAAAGCTAATGTAAGGTTGGAAAAAATTCTTGTAAAGAATAAAATGTGGAATGATTTGGTGGTAATTGCAGATTCGCAAGCGAGAGAATGCATTCAAAAAAGTTCTAAAAGGTCTGAAAATTATAATTCATGGCAAATCTATAATTATATAGGGAAAAGTGTCAAAAAAGTCATAAACCTTTTGCATTGGTGCCGATTTAGTCTTAATCCTTTTTGTGGTGCCAATTCAGTCCTAAACCGTTTGCATTGGTATCAATTGAGTCATAAACCTTTTTTTTGTGCCAATTCAGTCCTAAACCTTTTGTATTTGTGCCAATTCAATCTTAAACCTTTTGTATTGGTTCCAATTTAGTCCTAAACCTTTTTTTGGTGCTAATTCAGTCCTAAACCTTTTGCATTGATGCCAATTCAGTCCTAAACCTTCTGCATTTGTGCCAATTCAGTCCTTCAACACGTGAATAGCTATTGGCTGAAAGGACTAAATTGGCACCAGTACAAAAGGTTTAGGACTGAATTGGCACCAATGCAAAAGGTTTAGGACTGAATTGGCATCAATGCAAAAGGTTTAAAACTGAATTGACATAAAAAAAAGTTTAGGACTAAATTGGCATAAGTGCAACAGGTTTAGGAATTTTTTGACACTTTTCTCATAATAATTATATAAGATAGCAAAGCTCACCTTTAGTGGATCTGATTTGTGCTTTAGGATTGTTTCTATCGGCATGAGGAAAAGCTGTGACTTCGGCCGTGGAATGCTCATTATTGACCTCATTCGAAAGCAAAGCACGCACATGATAGCCTGTGATACAGAAAGCTAATGCATCAGCACTTCCACCCTAACATTCTTTCCTGTTACACATTATCTCAAGAGATATGGTCCAAAGACCCCAAACGATCGACGGATAATTTTTTCCTCAAAAAGACGAGGTCGTCATAAAGCTCTATCAGTGCATATGTGGCAGGGAAAATGAGGAAATTCTAAACCATGTTGATTATCCCCAAATAAAATTCCTTCACGCATACCAAGCCAGATGAGCATTCATAAAAGGCTCCTCTCAAAAGAAAATATGCATAAAGGCACTCAGTTGTCCTAATAACAGTGAACTCCAATCTTAGGGCATGTTTGGTTCAGCTTTCATGCTAGCATTTGGAATGCTGAAAGCCCAAAGCTGGTCGGGATCAGTTTTGGGCTTTTAGCATTCCACGAATGCTACTGTTCACGTCTCTTTTTTTTTTTTTTTTTTGATTTGAAGCTGTTCATCTTCTTCACCAGGTAGCCGGCGAGGGTGGCCGACGAGGGAGAAGGGCCGGCGAGGTCGCCTGGGGTCGGGCGACCACCCAGGCGACGCCGTCGCTGGGGTCGCTCGACCCAGGCTGTTGCCGCCTGGGGTCGCGCGACCTCAGGCGACGGCCGCCTGGGGTCGCGCGACCTCAGGCGACGGCCGCCTGGGGTCGCGCGACCTCAGGCGACGGTCGCCTGAGGTCGGGCGACGGCCACCGGCGCCATATCTGGCTCGCTGGCGGTCGTAGCCCTTCGCCGGAGCCGGCGAAGGGTGCTTTTAAAAAAAAAAAAACTCCCAAAGCCCATTTGTAAATAAAAATAACCAAACACAACTTGCATTTTCCCAAGTGGCTTTCAAATGATTTTTACCAAACGCCATTTGCATTTCCCCAAGTGATTTTCACCTAAAGGTATTTGCATTCCCCAAATGAGCATTCTAAAAGCCGAACCAAACGGGCCCTTAATCTCACCTTACAATCTAACTAAGATATGATGTTACCTGGCAGCCAGCATAGAAAACTCGATGAGCTAGTGGATTAACGTCCACATCCCGAACTTTGCAGTAGTCCAAACACCAATCAACTAACCTGAACTTTCCACTAGTTCCGTTTGATGTACCCTGACTAATTATCTGTGTTCAGGCGACATGTCTGCTAGCGCTAGGGCCGTGGCTTGATTGATCTTTTTGCGGGCTTGGTCCACGTGAATTCGGTCGGTTGTTTACAAGTAGTGTTAGAGCAATCCATAAACCGAAAATGTGGAAACCAAAGAAGGCTGTCACCTAATTTGCGTACATTACCTGGGCCGATGGCTAGCTTTTTTATTCTGATTTCAGATATGAATGTGAATTGTGCCCCGGTTTTCGTAGGAAAAGGGATGACTATATGTTTTGAAAATTCGATTTTGCCGGATAATCTTTTCTCAAGAAAGCAAGACATGCTCACGATTGGGTTTAATTGTGATGTTTGCATTTTCTGAAATGCATGTCGAATAGACCATATTGATGCCAGGAAAAATCTTAATTTCTGTCTTGAACATATGATTGATGTCCTAACTCATTAAAATATGGATGATGAACTTTTCAGGCATTTATCTGTTGGATCGGTTGCTGCATCCCTTGGTTTTGGACCTGTGGTTGGATGTAGAATTAGGAATATCTTCTGGTCACTGTGGCTGTTACATACGTCTCTGGTCTCTTATTACTTTGTTAAAAATTGTCAACTGCTTTGCATATTGCCGGCTTATACGCCTTTTTAAACTGACCCCCGTGAACGCAGAAATAAGGAGCCAATGTCAATGATTTAATCGAAAGCACACCACTGATATCAGAGGATGGATCGGTTAGACTTGGATCTCTGAGAGGCACAGTGTTTGAAGTTGATACTCTGACTGGAAGACTAGTACGAGTTTATGGTTCATCAGATTTTCCATCTACCTCCTGAAACGACATGGAAGAGGGTCGAGACACTGTTTCATTAGTGAATGATGTGAAGGATTTGGCACAGTCGAAATTTAATGGAGCAGCCGCATCTGAAGATCATACGGACAGACTACTCATTGCAATCATTTGCTCCAAGCTCCGATAAGTGTCGTGGAGCTTGTCCCTAGCTGAGATAGAAACTTCCTTACTTGGTGAAGAAGACATTGGTCATTCTGGTAGTATATCGCCTGTTGATTCAAGATATCGACTTGGTTTGGAATGTGGAGACCCCCCTTTACAATGCGACTCTCTTTCTCTTGTCCACCTATTGTCGTTCATGTTCGAACTTGTCAGATGCACAATCCATTTTCTAGACCTTCTCCGGCCTGAGATTGGTCGACCCTTGAGTTTTGAGCCCAAGAATGCGAGACTTCCGTCTTCAGATCTCATGCTTCATCAGTGACTGAAGATGGATATCGTGTCAAGGTTGCAAAACGAGGATGCTTTTGGATGTGATACCGTCACAGCCCTGATCCACAGATCCATAATTCACGAGTTGTCTGTCGGTCGGGTTTACCATATGGCCTTCTCCATCGATATTTCGTGTATCTTTTTTGAGTGGTCGGAAGCTTCATCTATTGAACTGATGATCCTTTTGATCATCGGCTGGTTTGTCTGCTATTCCATTCAAGTGCAAAATGAACAACCGAAGCTGTTGGGGGATTCTAATTTGAAAGAGAAGGTGTAAATCTGGAAAGAGTAACGTAAATCTCAACAGCGAGGACAAGCACGTTTCACCAGGGAACGAAGGCAAGCACTGTAATATAAGGAGCAACTACGAGGCCGGTCGTAATTTGGCTACGGCTTCCAAGATGATGGAAACACGAGTCAAGCATGCGTCTATAGAGAACGAAGGCGGGCTTAGTCATATTAGGAGCGACGATGAAGTTATCCTTATTTGAAGAGGCTTTCCAGGAAGAAGAAACAAGGAAAGTCCAGAAAGAAAAGTACAAAAAAAAAAGAAGACCAGATTGTCTCTTCAGAGAACGATGGCAGGTTTGGCAATAGTAGGAGCAAATGATGAGGGTGATTCTACTTTGGAAACGCCTTGGAAGAAGAAGAAAGCGCACAAGTTGAGAGAGAGACGGAAATCTTGACAAAAACGAGGGAGGAGCATGTCTCTTTCCTGGGAGAAGGAAGGCAAGCGTGGCCACATTAGGAGGGACAATGTTCTTTGGCATAGTCAAGAAACAGTGGTGGATATTGAGTTAAAAAATTGGAAAAACACAAATTATTCATGAACTTTGACCGAATATGCAATATGATCCATGAACTATAACTTGATGTGTAATGTAATTCATGAACTTTCAATTTGTTCAATATGATCTCTGAACTTTTTGTACATGTTCAACTTAGTCCCTAAACTATGTAAAAATGTTCAATATTATCCCTTAACTTGAATTAATGGAAGGACAATATTGAACTTTTTCATATAATTCGATAACTAAATTGAACATGTACCAAAAGTCCAAGGCCCATATTACACATTAAGCTAAAGTTCATAGACCACATCGAACAAATAAAAAATTCAGGAATCACATTGCACATTAGCCCAAAGTTCACGGACCATTTATATCATTATCCCTAAAAAATAAAATAAAAAAGGGTTCAGTTCGGTTTGGTTTCGGGTCAAATCCCGAACCGACCCGAAACACCTACCTATAAAATGGGCAGACGATGATGGAAAATGAAAACTCTAAGCCCTCCTCGCCACCTTCTTAGCCAGCAGGTTCGGCGCTACTTGCTCAACATTACTCGGTGGCTTCGGGGGGCGCCACCGGCGGAGATCCGGCGATCCCCAAGGCCTCGATTTTGTCGGATCGAGGAGCATCATGACGACCCCGGAAACCGGTTGTGTCGTCAATTGCTCCCGCCATTGTCAAGTCAGTTTTCTCGAACAAATACTTCCAACCCTTGTTAGTTGTATTGACATGTTAGTACAGGAATGTGCGTTGATCACTGAGCATCAAATATTATGTGCGAGGTATCTGATGTGGGAAGATTTATCTCAACGGAGGCGTTTAACTCTTCCTACATCCTGATATCTTGTCATATAATATTTTGATGCAGATAAATCCTTCCGGTAAGCTCATCTTTCACTTGTAAGGTTCGGGGTGTACATGCGAGATGGGGGAGGTTTAGCCAGCTTTGGACTTTGGGAACAGAAGGGCTGCACCGTCAAATTGGAGTTTTGTCTGATCAAACTGTCTGCATGCATGTCGTCGTTTGCTTCGCTCCGTTTTCTTATGATTGTCCGGCACAGTGTGGTTAAAGCCGTGCTTGCAAAGGTGTGACTGTAAATTAGTGTTTTGTTTCTTGCAGGTACCTGCTTCGTCATACCCACCAAAAATTCCACCAAAGTGAATTTTAAGATCTTTCGAGTCAGTGAAAGAGCAATGGGTTGCTTTTCCCATCTGGGTCTATCATGGGCTGAAGCCCTGCGGCAGAGCAAGATCGACGTTTTTGCCGGAAGCCGGAAAATAATTTCCCGCAGTACCATGTAAATAATGTAAATTTGTTTGAACCCCGGGCACGGGGTCTTGGTAAATTATTAGCTTGTATGATATCTCCAATGACTTTGTCAATAAAAGTTCCATCATTTCTGACTAAAGAAGTACGTTTTGAGCAGTAGCGTGTGACGATACGCAGTGCATACCAGCTTTTCCTTGCCGCGTTGATGCTCATTCTCTCCTTGCCTTGGCTCATTGTGTTTATCGACTCATATTGAAAACCTTAAACTCAATACCTATGTATATAGACAAGAAATAGTTTGGTAGACAAATGAAACCCGTATGATGTAGAATGAGATTTCTGGCTTATATGATACAGAAGCAACACTGTCACATTATATGATTCACAATGTCACATTACAATGTAGACTTTCATTCGAGACCAAAATTTTAACACTGCAAAACTACAACGCCAGAGTTACCACCACAAATTTAGCTCCGAGCTACGAGTCGATAGCGTCGCTCCAGTATATCGCCCGCAGCACAATCTTCCAGCTTCTGAAAGAATTGCTGTACCATCAAATGATTTCACAATGACTCCGGACTAGTAGACGGTCTTAACCTCGACGGCATTCGTACAAGCTCCTCTAGTCCTCCACCGAACTTGTACATTGAGGACTGCTTCGGTGTAATGGACATTTTATTCAACGCGTAGTCAAATTCTTCGATATCAATATCTTGCTCGTTAAAACTCGTAGCCATTCTATCGCCTCTGTTCTCTTCTACGCCGTCAACGAATACTTCACCATCTTCTTCGTCGCTGCTATCTTCCTCGTCTTCATCTTCATCATACGTAGTTTTGACCATTGACCAAAATATGAAGTTTGGCCGGATGAATCTGTATAACATAAGTTTCAAAGAGAATAGTAGGGTCAGCACACCCTTCCCGGTAAAGTTACAGTCCACACTGGTAGCTATCACTTTAAAAATTGAAACGACAGTATGTGACCAAAAGTTAGTTCTCTTGAAATTCAACTCTAAAGTCAAGAATTTGCACGAAACGAAATATCCCATTTCATGCAGAAACTCTGAGCCCTTTCATTATACTAACACTTTCACAATCTACTAACACAGAATCATTCCAGTAATTAGCCTAGTAGGCAAATCACTTCTTAGCCAGATATTCAAAACCAAACGAAAACAAAATATACCCATTGATATGCACTCATATTCTTTTGGCCCATGATTATTAATTTGCAATACTTTTAAGGCAAGAGAATGAACCTATCGCTTTTCTTCAATAAACATGGGTCAAAAGGAAAGAACGTGTCTAGCCTCTCCAGTCCACCAAAAGCCCTTGAAAGTTCAGACTCCAGGATGTCATCAAAGTTAGATGTCTTGGAGACTGTAAAAAGCCCAGCAGCTCTTGCCTGTTTAAGAAATTCCCCAACTACAGATGGCAGGCATACCTGTAAGAAGATAAGAAAAGCTGAGGCTGCACATCAAGGATGGAAAAAGCTAATGTAAGGTTGGAAAAAATTCTTGTAAAGAATTATATGTGGAATGCTTTTGATGGTAATTGCAGATTCAAAAGAGGGAAAATGCAAACAAAAAAGTTTTAGAAGGTCAGAAGAAATTATAATTTGTGGCAAATCTATAATTATATAAGATAGCAAAGCTCACCTTTAATGGATCCGATTTGTGCTGTAAAATTGTTTCTAACGGCATAAGGAAAAGCTGTGACTTCAGCCGTGGAATGCTCATTATTGACCTCATTCGAAAGCAAAGCACGTACATAATAGCCTGTGATATAGAAAAGCTAATGCATCAGCACTTCCACCCTCATATTCTTTCCTGTTACACATTATCTCAATAGATATGGTCCAAAGACCACAAACAGTCAACTGATAATTTTTGCCTCATAAAGACAAGGTTGTCTCAGCAAAAAGCTCTATCAGTTCATATGTGGCAGAGAAAATGAGGATTTTCTTAACCATTGTTGATTATCCTCAAATAAAATTTCTTCACGCATACCAAGCCAGATAAGCATCCAAAATTTCCAATTGTCAGGGGATGGGAAAAAACATCAGTTGATAAACACACATTTTCATAGAAGGCTCCTCCTAAAAGAATATATGCATAAAGGCACTCAATTGTCCTCATAACATTGAACACCAATCTAAATCTCAACTTACAATCTAACTAAGATATGATGTTACCTGGCAGCCAGCATAGAAACCTCGATGGGATAGTGGATTAATGTCCCCATCCTGAACTTTGCTATAGTCCAAACACCAATCGACCAACCTGAAATGTTAATAGTCAGCAGAATTAATTCATCAATAGATTGTCTTTGCATAGAACTACGGTTTATATTAAAAGCTCTCATGGGAGCCTCATCAGAAACTTGAATAAATTTCACAATCATAACCTTTTCAACATTGTAGTAATGTAATTGGCAGAGAGAAACTTTCCGCGAGACAGATAGCTGGCAAGATATGCAACTGCACTCATCCTGCAAAAGACGGGACATAATATGAATACCTAGAGCAATAAGCTTTAAACAGTAACTTCAATAGAGATACTAAAAATATGTTAATCTTAATACCAGTTCTAACTCTTCAAAAGAAAACGAAATTGAGCTCATTCATAGGTCAAGAAAACCATAACATTGGGAATACATGGCAAGCTACACTATTTGTTGTATATTAAAACGATATAATTTTAAGATAAGCAGTGCACACCATTCCAAGTCAACTAACGATGTGGCATTGCAATGGAACTTCAAAGGATAGGCCATATTACCTTGTGATTGGCGGGTGATCATGGCAAACAAAAATATCTACAAGCATTCGAGCAAATCTCACGCCACAATTCTCAGGATCCAGCGCACACGCATAGAACATCACAAACTGCACCATGCAGATTTGATCAAGCTCAGAAAGGGAGCGATGAAAAGTCTGTCTCTCTAAATAAATCTGGAAGCACATGCCCATTACCTGCGCAAACTTGGACTTGTATGCATTCAGAACAGTGATGCGAAAAGAATGGAGAAGAGTCTCGAATACCTACTCAACAAAAACGTTAAAACAGATCAATATACGAGATTAAAAAGTTCGGAACATTAGTGGACCCAAAACCAATTCTAATCAGCAAAAATTTATTAGAGTCCAGATAAAACCTCAAGCAGCCGGCCATGCCCTTGACAGGATTCAAGATACTCAAAAGTCAACACCAATAAGCTATCCAATTTCTCAGCAATTACATTTCCTCGCAGACCGTTTCTGCTTAAATGTATTCCTGGAAGCTGCGCAAGTAGCTTAATCAGTGCGTTACGTAAGGTGAGACTATTGATCAAACTTATAGCTCAGAAAACCAAACAAAAGTATAGAAATTAAAGGTAACGGAAACCATGGATCAGTATTTATCGCACAATGCAATGTCATATCCCACAAAAGGCGCATGACTACCCTCCCATGAACCAAGAACCTCCGTTGACCAATTCCCGTTGGGAAGTTATAGATTAGGCTAGCAACCCCTATGCATGTTACCTATTTCATAGTTCATAATTACACAGAACCGGAATCCATTACAAACTTTCTAAAGATTAAATTTCGAAAGAAAGCATGACTCTTATGCTAAAAAGTTTACAATGCATAGCGTCTGATGTAGATCAGGAGTTTATGTGCACTTGCAATTGCCTTAAGGACCTCAAATGCATAGCCACACTAGGACAAATTTAGTAACTAAGGCTGAAATTCCCTCTGGTACTTAACCGGTAAACATATACAACTAATCTGATTCGCTCACAATATCCTTTGAGATTTCACCAAGCATATCATATAAACTATAGTGAATCCACAATAACCCAATCCAGTCAAATCTGTAAGGCTATCTTACCTCATCGCCTTCGTCATTCAAGTCCTCTTCATCTTCTTCCAAGTCTTCTAATTCCATCTCAAAAATGCCTTTGCTAGAGTCATCTTGTAGAATATCCTCCCACCCGATCTCCAACTACAAAAAGTGGAAAATTGTATTAACATCAAGCAAACCCTTCGTGAGGAGTATTAACAATGGAGCTGTACTATACTTACATCCAAATCTAATAGTCTGTCCACTACTGCCATAAGCATTGTGCTCCCAACAAGTTGTCCCATACTACCACTCTCCAGCTTGAACATGTTCTCCATGTATGTCATCATGACCTACAAATGAATAAGGTTTATCTTCACATACCTTACCAACATCAATTAGCTCACTGAAGCACCATCATCCTACTTGAGGAAACTGAATGAAGATCGTATTCTTTTATCAATGGAAAGTCAGAGCAGGGTCTAGTTGAGCCACATCCAAAACATGCAAACATAAAATGTTAAAAGAAACAAATGAAGGAAAGCACAACAATTTTCACCAAGGTCAAAGCAAGGAGGTTATGGATCAAAGATAATACATAAAAAATGAAATATATGATTCCACATATAGAAGAGACAAATATAGCTACTCCATTGGTGACACTCGAGACCATTGCATTGAGTTTTTTTTGAGTTACAATTATTCTCTTTTTCAAAAGCATAATTATCAAAACTTGCCAATTGGTGAAGGCAATCTAGAAGTTTCAGCATCCATTACCATCAAAGTAATTTATACATGAAGAATCAATCAACCAAGTAACAGGTTTCATAAATATCAAAAAGTAATCCCAACTTAGTGGTGTTAGTTAGCATCAGCATTCCAAAGCAAACTGAACTCACAGCTTCATTATCATTTTGCCTTGGCATTCTTTGGATGACTAATGACAATAATCTCATGGGAGCAAGAGGAACCAAATGACTAATACTTTCTAGAGCTGAATGAACCCGAGAAAGAACTTGGTCTTTTCTTGAGAGGCCCCGTGGCTGCTTTAACAAGGCCAGGTATGAATATGGCGGGACGAAATTCTTTATGAGCATATCCAAGCAAGAATCGACATATTTTCCGCTCGAAGCAGCCTGCTCCAGCATAAAATTACAAAAGAAAAGGGAAATTAAATGAGACCAGGCCAAGCTAAATTGTATACTGCAGAAGCCAACAACAGGCCAAATTACCATACCAGAGATATGATTAAGTCAACCAACGCATCCATCACTTCAGGTCCATAATTCCACATGCTCATTCCAAAAATCTG